GAAGCTCCATCCCTGGCAGTGTTGAAGGGCAGGTTGGATGGGGCTTGGAGCAGCCTGGGCTGGTGGGAGGTGTCCCTGCCCGTGCAGGGGGTGGGACTAGATGGGCTTTAAGGTCCCTCCAACCCAAACCAGTCTGTGACAACGATGACAATGATAAAAGGGCTGAGATCCTGAGCAGCAGGGCAGGGTTGAACAGCAGAGCCCTCTCACAGGTGCTCAGACAGGCTGAAACCGCAGCAGAGCAGCCCGGCAGCCCCCCAGGGAGGAAACCCCTGCCCATCAGCCCCCCCAGGGAGGAAACCCCTGCCCATCAGCCCCCCCAGGGAGGAAACCCCTGCCCACCAGCCCCCCCGGGGAGGAAAGCCCTGCCCAGCAGCCCTTCACGGTGGGTGCACCTCGGGCCAAGCTGAGGTGACTCAGGGTGACTCACACAAACACATCACACACAAAGTATGAGTCCTGGCACTGCAGGGAGATGTCGCTGCCTTCCTTCCACCTGGACAGACATTTCATGTCTGCCCAGAGGGTAGGGACCCTCGTGCCACGTGCCTCCCACACCGGGAAGCAGCTCCTCTGAAACTCAAGGTGTTTGGAGACTATTATGCCCCACAGGAAACAATGTCAGAATTAACAGCCTGTAAAATGCCATTTAAATTAAAAAGGGATGCTGGCCGGGTTACCCCTCTCCAGCACTGCCTGACCCCCCCTCCCGTCCTCCTAATCACCCACGAGGTGATTACAGAGAAATATTTCCCCTGATGGTGCTATTAGCCCAGGGCCTCTGGAATTCCCCCTCCTGAAAGCCGGGCTGTGAGGGGGAATTTGGGCCTTTCAAGAGAGCAACTGACTCCTCGAGATCTGTTTATTTTTCACACTTTGCTCAGAATAAACACTGAAAACAGAAGTAATTTCTCCTATCTCACTCTTCCCCCTGCCAGGTCCCAGCTCAGCACGGGAATCTTTGGGATGAAGAGGCAGCAGGAGAAGGTTTTATGCGAAAATCAAAGCGTTTCTCACAGCTCTGCAAACACGTGGAGCTCCTCTGCTTGTGCAGCACAGCTCTGCCACCCCAAGAAAAGGCAACACTATCTCCCAGCTCCTCCTTTGATGGTGGAGAAAGCCAGGGCTTTGCCTGGGTTTTCACAGGCACACCATAAAAAAAATAATCTTCATTATAAAAATCAGTTTAATTATAAACCTGAGTTCACATGGCCTAGGGCAGCAACAGCCAGAGCACCCAACCCTGGTCCTGGTGAGGCACAGAGCATCTCAGGAGCTGTGCAGCCTCTGTCTTGCTCCTGGGAAGCCCTTTCATCGTTTCCACCCTCTGGGTCCAGAGCTGAGAGGGTGGAAAGGGTGGAAAGGCTGAGGAGCAGAACAAGCCCAGAGCACCTTTTGTTGACATCCTCATGAGAGTGTCCCTGACAAGTCCCATACAGACTGAGATGGAAAACCCCATGGCAACCTGTGGCACAGGCTGTGAGCCCCAGCTCGTGCTCCAGGCCCTCTCTCCAGCTGAGGCTCAGGCTGGGCTGGGCTGGAGGAAGGGCTAAGGGCACAGGACCAGCATCCAGGCTCTGCAGGAGGACACACGGGGCTCTGCCACTACAGTGACGTGCCCAGGTTTCCCCCACGCCGTGAGGCTGCAGGGTGATGCCCACCCCGTCCCTCCCCACCCCCTGCTGCCAGGACCCCCCATCGCTCCCCAGCCAAACAGCTTCACTCCAGTCTGAGCAGCACTGAGCTGCAAAGCCAGGGGGTCCAGCAGGGCTCCTCTGGGACACCCAGTGCTGTCCCCTCCCCGGGGACACGTGCTCACCCTCCAGCTTGCTCTCCACATTCTCCTGCAGCTTCTCCTCCGTGTTCCGGGTCTCCCTCAGCTCCAGCTGATCTGCTCTATCCAGAAGAGGCAGCTCCTGCTTCTCACCTGTGGACCAACAGACCCTTGCAGTCAGTGAGGACGCTCCAGCAGGAGATGTTCTCCAACCCAACTCCGCATCCCCTCGTCCCTCCCTGCCTAAGCCAGAGCACTTTGCATTCAGCCCGATGGCTGCGAGGGAAGTCATCATAAAAAAAATATTTAACAATCTTATAGCCTGGTGGCAGCCAGCCAGCACTAACTACCTCAGCCAATTAAAATGCAAGAAGGGTTCTAACGAGCTTTTAGACGGGCACTTAGCAATGTGTTACCTGTCAAGATCTCCCGGCTCCGCGTCCCCGGGGAGGTGGGAGACGCACAGAACAGCAGGGCACCTGACGTGCAGTGGGGCAGCAAACAACTGTTTGACAGATACTACAGCAGCTGTCAAAGCCACCAGATTCCTCCCTTTCCCCAACAGCTGCAGAAGGGGCTGTGCACACTCACGTGCTTATCTTGTGCATTAAAAGGAAACACTGGGATGGAGGCAGGAATAACCCAATTGTCCATCCTCGGGAGGGGGTTACAGGCCAAGAGGAGAGTTTGTTCAGACAATCTGCCATGGAGGGAGCTTACCAGGGTCACCTTCCTTCTCCACAGAGTTTGCAGCCTCCTCTGCTTTCCTGGGGAGCTGGAGCTTTGATTTCTCCCTGTCACCTGCAGCTTCAGCTTTCTTCTCACCGTCCGGCATGGCAGCTTGTGCCTTGGCTTCCACCACTTGTTTGTCTGGCTCCAGCTCTTTGTATGGCAGCCTGCCATCCTGCTGCACCACCACCTCCAGGACGTTCTTCGGATTCTTAGCGGGCTCGTCAGTCCCTCCCCGCAGTTGGTTCTCAGCGATCGCTTCCTGCCCTTGTTTTGGGCCAAGTGCCTCTTTCTGAGGATTCAGGGCAGCCGGTTCCTCCAGCTCTGGCTTGAGCCGACCATCGTTGGCTCCTCCAGGCCTGAGCTTCTTCTCCTCGGACTCCTCCCGCTCCCGCCCCATGTCCACCACCACTTCGTCGTGCGGGACGGGCGGCTCGTGGCGATGCGCTTCCCCCACGGGCAGGGCAATCCCTAGGGTGGACAACAGGCAGGGTCAGGGGTTCCAGAGTGGCGGGAGAAAGGTTCACAGCTCACCCAGCACCCAACCTGCTGCTCTCCTTCAGCCCTGCCTTTCCTTCCCCATCAGGACACTGCATTCCTGACGCAGGATGAGGAAATCGATGAGCACTTTAAAGGGTATTTTCCAACCTCAATGATTCTGGGATTGTAACAAACCTCAAGAGCATCAAATACTAAATCACTTCGAGGTAATGAGCAGAAATCAGGATGTTTATCTGAAATAGCCCTGCAATGCAGCCCTCCCAGCTCCAAAGCTGGCCCCTTCCCTCGTTACCTTGATCAGGGCGGTCAAGCTGCACTTTCTCCTCCAGCTTTCCTCTCTCCTCCTCTCTCTTGGGTACCTCCATGGGCACCTTGATTTGTGGCTGCTCCATCTCCTCCTTCTCCTCCAGCAGCTTGGGTTTATCCCGGTCATCCTCAGCCTCCTCCACAGCCGGGTTCTGCTCTGGAAGGGCAGGACAGAGAAGTGCAGGAGGTCACACGCGGCTGCACCGAGGCCACCACAACCAGCAGAGCAGCTTTTCTCCCCTCCGGCCTTCGCAGGGAGGGGGGGGGGCTTTTATTCTGGGGTTGCCTGTTTGTTCTCCCGACCGTGTTGGGTTTTTTTTTATGGCAGCCCAGGGTAGGCTGGGCTGGGATGGAGCCGCGATGGAGCCGGGATGAGCCGGCTGCCGCTGCGAGCTGTGCCACCAGATGGTAGCATCCTCCCAGCTCCCCCGCCGCAGACCCCTGAGCACTGGGAAAAACCGAGGGAGAATCCGGCTGCAGCCCCCCCAGGCGCCTGCCCGCACGCTGCAAAGCAGCTCAAAACCTCGTTTATGTCTATTTTTATGTTTCCAAAACGCTTTGAACGCTGCGAGGACCCTGCACAGGGCACCAAGTGTTGAGGAACATGATTAGGGGAAACTCCCGAGGGAGATGGGGGACTCTCCCTGTCTCTCCCTCGAAGAGACAAGATGTTTCTGGAAGACACATCCCAGTCAAACCAGTTACTGGAGTAACCACGTGGAATTCGTGGCACGTCCCAGGGGATGGGAATGGCCCCTTCCCACCCCAGGGTGGCAGAGGACAACCCACACAGCATGAACAAGGAGCCAGCTCTTCCTTAAAAGAGCAGCAGAGGAGGAAATCTAATTGTTTCCCAGCACTGAAGTTGTTCTGCAGATTATTTTTTTTTCCATTAAAAAAAAATAAAAATCCTATCTTCTGTAACCAAAAAAAAATTCCCAACTCTTCCCCCCATTTGCCCTCCCCCATGCAATTTCCTTTGGGGAATTAATTCTATAAACATCTTTCAATTTTTCTCCTCCCCCTCTGCAGGGCTGGTGCGATTTATTACAAGATGAACTCATGGGAAAGAAGAGATTGCCACAACTTCAGCTGCGTGGGCCCTACCCGAGCTGGGGAGGGGGAGGAAAGCACCACACAGCAACAAATAAGTACAAAATCCTGGCCCAGAGGGATCCGAGCCAGAAGGATCCAGAGTCTCTCCAGAAACCTGGACTCTCTGGCCCAGAGCTCCCCACCCCACTGAAGGGACGTGCGCCGGGGCTGGATGGCTTTCCAAGTTCCTTTGGTTTGGGAATGGCAGTGGGAGGGGAAAAGAACTTGGATTTTCTGAGAAATGCGAGTCTGGTACCCAAGGGTCCCTCTCTCCATTGAGGGACTTCCCAGGGTTCAGCAAGTCAGGGCAGGACACTCCTCCTTTCAGGAAAAATCGGACTGCAGGAACCAGTGCCCAGCCCTGGACGGGGGCCCTGGGAAGCTGAGGCCGGGGAAGGGAGCGCTCGGCACTGCTGCAGATGTTCCCAGCTACATTCTGGCCTCGCAGCAAAAAATTATTTACTCTATTGGAGGAAAGTTTTTTCGTTAATTGGTTCATGAAGGCGGGAGGTGGCTGCCTTAGGAGAGGCCTGAAACCAGAGGGCCCGGGGAACCGCGCCGTGGGGAGCGTCATTCCCACGGCCGGAGGGAACGACGACCCACACAGCCCTGCAGGATGATGGGCAGGGGGGGAAAGGGAGAAAGAGAAGGGGTGGGAAGCATTCCATGCAAGTGGGAAATGGAGGAGTTAAAACCAGAACAACCCTGGAGAGCAGGGAGGGTTTGGCCAGAGGACCCTGCAGCAGGTGAAAACCCCCCCCCCCCCGAGGGGTCCTGGATGGGACAGAGGGGCTGGGGGAGGCCCCACTGCCAGGAGAAGCAGCATCAATCATAAATCAAGAGGCCACATGTTCAGTGTTCTGCAAACAATGCAAGAAACGACCCAAACACAAACAAAACACACAAAAAAACCCAACCCAACAACCCCAACACCAGAAGTCTCCACACCATAATAAGACAAAGTTGCCTCTAAGCCGTCATTTGCTCAGCGGGAAACAAAATTAAGTTCATCATCAGGGCGTGAATTAACGACCTCTCACGCTGCATGGAAATCTATAAGGGACTATATGTGGTTTGCAGAGAACAATCTTGCTCAGGATGTGTAATAATCGCTCTCACTGTCTGGTGGCCCCGCGGGTCCCTCCGGAGAGCCCTGCAGTGACGCTGCGCCTCCCCAGCTTTTATGAGCGGTGTTGGACTTCACAGGCGGGGGCTCAGAGGCTGTAAAAGCTTTTTTTTTTTTGGCTTCCAACACCCAGAGCTGGATGTTGGGCAGCACCAGGAGGGTTCCCTGTGCCCCCAGCCCTGCTGCCGGGGGTCCTGCTGGGCCCCCCCGGGGCTGAGGGGCGGCAGCAGCTCCTGCCTCGCGCTCGCGGCGAAGGGAAGCGGGGCTTTCTGCAACTGATCTCTGTGTGTCTGCCTGTCTGTTGTGGTTTGACAACGGCCTCTCTAGGCTGCAATAAAATTTCATGATTAGCAACCTAAAAGCCTCCCTTCCTCCCCCCCTCCCCACAGCTCCTGGTTCGGGTAGCAGCAATGGTCCCAGAAAGGCATTAAATCCCTCCTCACACGGTTTTTCCGATCACTCTCTTCCACCGCAGCCAGAAGACGGGTCCACACGCCCTGCTCCCAGCACAGGCACCTCGCTGTGATCCCCAGGGATCTGGGGAGCCCCAGGGACGGCACTGGGAGCTCAGGGACACCCACCCTCTCCCCGCAGCTGAGAAACGCCTGGAGCATTGGAGCAGGGGCCATTGGCCAAGGGCTGGTGAGGGACATGGGGGTCAGGACCTGCTTAAACCTCCTCAGAGCTGTGAAATGGAGCAAGATGCACAAGTACGTTCTCCTGCAAAGGAGAACAGGGAAGAACAAGGGGGGGCAGAGGGTTGGGGGGCAAACCCCTGCCCTCCAAGGGGCTGAGCAGGGCTTAGCCCCCCAGGGAGCCCAGCCCAGCCTTCCAGGATCCCCCCCATCCCCCCAGAACGGTTACAGATTTCACAAGGTTATCGAATGGCATCACTGAAATTAGTTCACAGTTGTCTCCTGACGCACCAGCAGTAAAAATGAACCCAAATTACACGAGGCTGATGGTTCCTTTTCTGTGTCACAGGCGCTATTAAAAGCTCACTCACACAAAGCACCAGGGAGAGCTGCAGCAGCATCAAGCTGTTCCTGCAGCTATTAGGATCTGGGTGTAATCCACGCTGCACACATGTTCGGGGCTGCCCAGGCTAAGAACACCAGCAGGGACACAGCCTGTGGCCAGGCAGGTCCCTTTCTGGGGACACAGATAGAGGTGGCACTGAGGAGAACCTCAGCATCGCGCTGCAGCCAGCGGGGAAGCCAAAGACAGAGTCAAGCTTTGCCCAAGTCTGTATAACACAGCCCCCCACATCCAGGATGGATGAAGGGAGGGATGGAGGGAGAAGGGTCCCTGCAGCACAGGGTAAAGGCCACTCTTGCACAAGGAGTGTGAATCAGGTCTTTGTTACCCAATATTGCACAAGCCAGAGAAAGAAAATGAAGCAGCAATGATCAAGTAAGGAGCTGAAAAATATTACAAAATCTTAATCCACCCCATGAGACCCTCTGGGGTGCTTTCAAATACAGAGAGAAATTGCCTAATTAGCTTTTTTTTTAAAAAAAAAAAAAACAACCAACAACACAACAGATAATTGCCTTCCTGAGCTTCCACAGGCAGCTTAGCAACCTTTTCACATACGGGCACACGCTGCATGGAGCAGCAGAACGTTTCTGAAAGGGGTTTTATACCTTTCCCGAAGAGCTGCTGACAGTAAAACCTCCAGCAATACAGGCAGGGGCTGTAATGGGCACTTGGGTGTCGTTAGTAAAAACACTGCTCAGAGTTCGCTGGTCAATACGTGTTCACATAAAAGGGCAATGTTCTAATATTCATAATCCCAGGGCCCACAGGGCAGGGTTTTAATGAAAGTCTGTACAGTTCTGGTCTCCACAACATCAAAGAGGCCAATAAAACTCCTCTCACATGCTGACAGGCAGGCGGGGAAGGCAGGAGTGGGGAAAGGCCCCGCGCAGCCCCCGGGTTCGCTCGGCCCGGCAGCCCCGGCACAGGGCTGGGGCTGAGCACCCACCAGTGCTGCCTGGGGAGAAGCCGTGTTTGCACAGCCCCGTGTGAGGAATATGGAATGGGAGAGCACCCAGGGGATGTGGGGCAGCCCCTCGGGTGGCAGGATGCAGCTGCTCTGGTGTTTTCCAGGCTCCTGCCTCTGCAAAACAAGCTGGGTGAGGATGGGGGGCGGGGGGGGGGA